GCTTATTTTGTTCTTCATTAAGAACAACATTGCGAGCTTGGGTAGATTGGGGAAACAATCAATAATGTGAATGCCATTCGAATTAAAATCCAAGTTTTCCAAATTCTTATACCGTAACAGCTCAGACTGACAAAGAATCGGAATAGAATTATATCTGAAACTTAAACGCGTGGTGGATGTTTTGAAGTCCTGTGGGATCCTGGTAAGGTCCTTATTGTCACATCGGCAGTGATAAAGACGTGAACACCTGCAGTCAGCTTCTGGCGTGCTCGTTTTCAGGATGATGAGAAGGAAAATTAGTAGTTTGCTTCCCATGTTGTCCTGCCACCTAAAAAGAACAGGAAGCCCTGTTACGCCAAAAACCGTTACCTCTTGAAAAATGGAGGTATTGTTTTGGTGTATCTGTGTGCCTCTGTGTGTTTTCGTCTCTCTGTGTATGTGTGTGTGTGTGTGTGTGTGTGTGTGTGTGTGTGTGTGTGTCGTGCGTGCGTGTCGTGTGTGTGTGTGTGTGTGTGTGTGTGTGTGTGTGTGTGTGTGTGTGTGTGGTTTAGCACGATAACTCAAGAAGGCTTCGATGGATTGCCATGAAAGTTGGTAGGTGGGCAGGTCTTGATGAGACCTACAAATATTTAGACTTTGAACCTCCTAGTGGCATCTTTCAAATAAAATGCACATCGAAGACAAAACCTTTCTCTCATAAAACACACATAGTTTTTCCCATCTCCCTTTCTTTCGTCTATTTAGCGGTGTCTATATTTCCTGCTCACAACATCACGCCAGTAGACAGAACGTAACCATAACGTTACAGGCCCACACGGCCTACATAACTACTACCTGTCAAATATGGAGCGGATTCATTCCTCAGGCTAACCGGCATCTTTCACAAAACAAAGTGGCCCCTCAGTAAGACATCTGGAGCCGCATGGCTCCCGTTTACAACTTTTATTCAGCCTGTCATGTCACTGTGGTGTGATGGATGTTGGGTTAGCTTGAGGAATGTTTCGACTCTACATTAGTCTATGTAACTGCTACCTGTCGTCAACTCGATTCCTGAGTTGTATCATTATCTTGGCCGATTCATCCATTTTGTATGGTGCATTTGTATTCCAGAAGTGCCGAAATGTGTTAGCATGCGCTCCACACAATCTTGACACGACATTTTGTTGGAGCAAACAACTTCGCACAAACGACCTTCTGCCCTCACATATATCGACCAGCAATCAACAGACCCACTGCTGGCATGTGTATATTGCTCTCAATCAGCACAAAACGCAGATGGTACAAACAGATGGTACACAGAGATGTGTCCCTTCCTGCTGATTCCTGGTGTCCTGTATATTTCATGATCATGACCTTGTTACGTTTGATGACCAATCAGCACGCCCGGTGATAAAACATGATTTCTGTGAAAGTGGGTGACAATCAATCATCACAAATAAGCGCGAAATGGTCCGAGGGTGACAGGATCATTAACCTTTTACAACCTCTATTGCATGTGCAATAGGCAGGGCTTTTAAAAAGACAACCTTGGAGTAAGCATAGTTCTTCAAAAAGGAAAAAAATACATGCAAAAGAAATGCTTATCAATCTTCAATAGTAATATCTGTTTTGCTGGTGACTGCCGATACACACGTGCACAGATACGCAGAATGGTTATTTTGTAGCATACACATTCAATCGAAGCCATAAATACAACAAGTGCAGTGTATATGTATGTTTCTATTCCCATCAACAAAATGTCTACCACGATGCTGAAATCTGTCTTCTACCACGATAAACATCATCAGTTTAACATTGCCCCCACCCCATCCACCGTTCTAACCCACTGAGAGAATGGTGACAACAGAACGATGTTGGACTCAGCCCGATGAAAGCTCTAGTCCAGTGATTTGTGTGTCAGTGGAATATCCTTGTCTGATGTGATTTGATGTAATTGGATGTTCATTCGACATGAGCAAAAACCGGATATAGCTTAAAATCCCTCTCCGAACACTCCGATCCCCGTCATTGCCGCGAATGACTCCACTTCATCACCCAACACAATAATCTTGACATGCATCATAGTAGAGCTCAAAGATCCACTAAGACTGTAATTTCTCTTTCACCAACGACATGACACTCTTCATTTTCCTGACTGATGAAAGATTTCAAGTAAGCATTGTGATTTCTATTGGGCTTTTGTGGATTTAGGGCACTAAAGAAAATGCTGTACTCTAACGAATGTTAATGGCAATCTGTGAAGATGAATTCTATATCGCGTCGCGTCATGGTATTATTTGAATAGTTTTCTTTGTGGTTTAATGATAATATATTGCTTTTATTGATTTTTACATAATTGTTTTAAGATTTGTTAGTTGACGAATAATACCTACATTACGTCTACTAGATACCTTTTCCTTGCAACCGACCCTGACATATAACCGGCAACCTACTGTCAACACGTAATTTGTTTTGTTCTGAGTGTGGCAAATTGGATATCGAACTGAAAAGACTCCATTTCTCAAGGAAGTACGGTCCTTTACCTTCCGAATATCCCATGTTCCTTGGCCGTATAATTGCTTTGTAAGGTGCCGTGTACTTTGATTAGAAGCTTGCAGGTCATTAACCTTTTGCCTGTTGCCCAACTCCATAACCAATATTGGTTTGGCAACCAATTTGGTGCCAAACAGCAACATTCATTGAGATTGCATAACGAATGTCATAAACGAAGAACTCATATCTTTTTGTTATGTTTAGTGTGTCTTATTGTGTGTATTATGTAGATTTTGAAGTTATTTTGTACTCTGTTTCAATGTTATTTTATCCTTGTTTTTGCAATTAGCCTTCGGACTAGAAATTGCAACAAAGTTATCAAACATCAATTTAAACCATACTTTTACATGTTTATTATGTTCCAACAATAACACCAATGGTCTCACCAATCCAATTTTGCTCGCCCTGTCACCGCCGTCAAGTTGAAAGGACGCCTAGGCCTTACCAGCTTGATTGGTCGGAAGTACAGAATTCGTAAAGCTTTCGTCTCGCAGTGTTCATCATACATATTATGATGAGCCCGCTGGGGCACATACAGATACTACTGATGAAGACAAATACTAATCCTCGTCGTAAAGTACCGAGAAACTCAATTCCCGTCTTAAGCTTCAGAGCCAAGACGCCGGGCGTAATGAAGACGTGTGATGAATGGAGTGACAAGATAAGACAAGGGGTTCTAAGGTGAAAGACGTTCTCCTCGCATCTGACAGGAAACGGATTTTATGGTACGTGATTAAATCCCTTTTACAGTCGCGGCTGCGACTACCGAGAGACCGCTTGAGCGACCAAAGGTTTGACAGACCGCGCGACGAATTTCATACATAAAGAAAGAATGGATGAATAAAGAGAATTTTTTTACACAACCAAGTGTTTAATTCAGCCGGTGTTTCGGTGACCGTCTGTCACCTTCCTCAGGGCAGTTTTGACTGGTTCAGAATCACATCGCACAGCACAGATTATCTTTATTCAGTGACTTACCAACTTGATGAAAGCTATTCACGGATAAAGAAAAGAATTTCTTTTTGTTTTGTGTTCTTTTCTGCCTCACATATTGCACCATATTCCAATTATGGACTCAAATGTCACATGAATCCAATATTGGCCGATGCACAGTCGCTCAGCGTAGTAGAAAGATTACTTTGAGTGTGTGCGAGTACTGTCCAATGAGTATGATCTTTGCCACTTGTTGTGTGGGTCCTATTTTGTATTCTTGACTGTTTGTAGCAGCCTCGGGCGGAGAGAGACTTATTGGAAACAGGTACTGTCTTGACAATCTTCACAATATGTCATAAAAAGAGTGGTCGTTAGGTAGTAAAACAGAATCCTCCAAGAACTACAATTTCACGAAGCAACCTCTTGCTGCTGGGTATTACATAAAGGATAAACTTTATTGCAGAAAAATTGCACAAGGTACAACGTATCGCATCTACTGTTCTATAACAATAAACACACATGCTATAGGAATAATCTACCTTTCAAAAGACTATGTAGAATGTGCTTTTACAATCATTGGTGGAATTTTCTAGCGTTTTAACTAACCCCGTAAAAATCCCCGGCCAGTGCTAATGGACCTGGGCGGGTGGTTAACCCTCCGAGCACCGTAGAGATACCGGAGAGCCTTCGATGGTCTAGCTACCAGGCTAGCAAAACGTGAATCCCTGGCAACTGGACCCGGCGCCCGCCGCGATGAAGCATCTGTTGCTCAGCACGTACCCGTGATCTTCCCTCGAGCTCACACCGACTCAACACACTCAAACGGGTAATGACAAAGTTCATCAGTTCACTCTGAAGGGAAAACAACAAAATTGCCGTAACATTCCTCACCCTGACGTGCCGGGATTGATGCTCCCTTTTGCACTGACACCTAAGCACTATCATTCCACCACCACACAAACCCCTGAAGTAATATAAAGTGCCCTTAGCTTTAGGGAAGGTACCTCTTCCTCCGAGGTAATAAAGGGGATTGTAGTGGTGGGACGTTCCCGATGAGTGATGTTCCCATTGGCGGGAGGTGTTCGATAGATTACCGTAGAGCCGGAGGATCTTCTGCCCAACCGTAACGGACATCATCACAGACACTCGTCAGTCAAAAGTACAGACAACCCAATTTACGCGCGCCCTCCAGTTGTACCGTTTTATTTCTCCTGTGGATGTGCCTCTACCATTAGTCACATGCCGAATGGCCCGTGGACGCACGCGTTGCGTTGCTGAAATTGTAAAAAAAAAGCACAAGGCAACACAAGTGACTCGTGCTTCGAATTTGAACAGTTGAAACGAAACTTGATGCAGATTTTTGATTATTATAGTTCTTCCATCAACTACAGTTAAAGGACAAGTAAAGTTATTTCAGTTTTAGTGCCTTTCAACCCAAAAATTCTGTTTGAAAAAGATTTATTGGTTTATACCAGTCCGGTACACATTGGTGCGATATTTGAGCCAAATCCATGTGCAGGTTTGATGCCTGGTTTTGCTCTGTTTCTTGTTCTTCCTCTCCGTCTTCCGTTCCAAACAAATAATATAAGGTCAATGACTTGGACAAGACGGATGTTACCATGCTAATTTGTGCTGTAGCAGGCACCCTGTGGTGTCGGATTACATTATGTAGCAATGGGAGGATAGAGTTGGAGGTGCTTGTCATCGTGTATATGAATGTGTTAAAGTAATTATTAGAAGAACAGAGCAGTAGTTTGTTAGCCTGGACCACGTGAAGGATATTATGTACTTGTATATGTTATCTTTCTAGTACGTTCACTTTATTTTGTTTTTTTAGAAACTTTCAAGTTAATCTAAGAGTAACTTTTGAATACGCTGGAGAGCAAGCTTTTCGTTAACACTGCTGAGTAAAGACATGCTTCACTTATCTGTTGGTGTTGATCGACCTTGCCATAGGAGTTTTTATCCTTACGAGAGTTCGCTCCTGCCATGAGACACTTGTACAGATTGATATCGATTTACCCAGACTGGGTTCACAGGTGTCCTTGCCTGGCGATTACTGAGGTAAAAGTATTGGGCATTACTGGGACTGTGCTACACTGGGTACCTGAACATTGTTGAAATCAAAGATTACAAAGAGGCCTGTCAGGAGGAATGCGTCTGGGTGTTTTATATACTATTAGATCATATATAAGATTTCAGTTTAAGGGCACAGTTGAAACTATATGTTTTGAGTGCTGCCTATTTGACCATCATACTTATTTGAGTTTATGAAGTTTTAAGCACTTTATATAATATGTATGTATGTATGTAAGTCCCATAACCGTGAGCGGTCGTAGGGGCATCATGACAGCCAGCAGCATGTCTGGACTTGTGCCATGATGTTTCAGTAGGCTTATAATCTTGGCGGCGCCTATATCCTCTCCAAGATATAATATAGCCAACAAGAAATCGGAGATTTTAGACTTTCAGGAAGTATGCAATCCTTGGCTTCCTGAATTCCCCCATGTCCACCACCATATTCCTCTTAGCTTCTGGCCAGATTCGGAAACCTCCCCGTTTATCCCATCTCCTCTGTCTGACCCTTTGACCTATCATTCTGCCTGTCAATCTTCCCCAACCACGTGCTATCAATCTACAAAAACCCACAGACCAGCCACCCAAAACTAGACTTCCGTCTCCGAAAGTGAAAAAGAAATCCATGTCAACATTGATATGAAATAGGTGCAAATAGAAAATCCCGCCAAGACTTTGTAGCCGTGAACGTATTTAACAATGTACATGAACGCAACTCGGATTTCAGCTGCAATGTTCATGATTGATCAATAAACCGTTTTTTATTTAATTTGATTTGCAAACTTTACTGTCGGTTCGAGTTGAACGAACGCGAGTTTCCTGTCACATGTAAACTTAGTTCCGCCATAACTGTAACGTTTGCCCATATTACTATCGATTTACCCGAGCCAAAATTTACAAGTGTCCTTGGTAGTGAATATAGGAGGAAGGATACGGGATTGCCGGGCACTGGACTGTGCTATATTGAGTTCCTGACCAGGATTACATAACGTAAGATTGACGATCTTTTCACACTCGAGCAGTTGAAATAACTTATCCTTATCGTTGTTTTTCGGTAATGTTAGGCTTTTTGCCGGATTCAAGTTAATCATGACTACCTTCAATTTAACTTGTGTGGGAGACAAACATCGATCTTTTTCCTTCACTAATTGGTCGGCGATATCGACTTCTAATGACCTTTGATCCTTTGCTGACGTCACGCGGGCATAAAGTCACGTGTCCTGAGCGATGAGGGCAGATACCAGCACGTCGGCAGAAGGTACTGCGCCTGCTCAGAACCCCGTATTTTCGCGTTTTTAGTTGGATTTTTGGTCAACGTTGCATCAGAATTCTGCCTGTTGCAGAGGATATTCTTTCCGACATAACATTTGGAAACTATTGTCGAAATGCTAACCTTATGTGAGCGAATACAACCTTATATGAGACATTCTGCCGAAATGCTATGCACAATACATTACGGGTTTCGCGCAGGTGCAGTACGTTCTGCCGACGTGCTGCAGATACCCGAGTAGGACTGTGCGAAAATACAATTTCTTTTAGTTTGAAAACTATTTAGTTTCTTCTATAATGCAATTAGCAATCTCAGATGAACTTCCATGCACCAATCTTGATTATGAAGATTGTAATGTGGCTTACATTATTTTATTTACCTGTTACATGACGGCTTTTGACAGAGGGTTTCAACTTGATCATGACTAAGTATAGCTAGCTCAACTGACAGGGGAGACAAGCCTTTGTCTTTGTTATAATCAGGCTTACATAACACACTGAAGTGGAAGATAGAATTGCAAGCTCCCATAAATTGCTTTCTGCCAGAGGCTTTCACGTTAATCATAACTAGCTTCAGCTTAACTGATGTAAAAGACATTCCTTTGACTTCATTACTTTGTGGCTTATGTAATGCACTAAAGGGAGATGAAATACAGACTTAGAACTGTGGCGAGTCATTCCCCCGATTATTCATTACATAACATTTGTTGAGTGACGTTGCCTGTATTTTGATTACCTCTGGTTCTTACATCACGATTTTGTAACATATTCACCACAGAAAACGTAACGTTGTGTTTAAGTAGAAAGGCCGACATTTGCTTTGGAGCAAATACAGCATAGCTTCACCACATTTACGCTCTCTCATATGTAATCAATATGTGAGCAACCTTCGTTGTATATAGATACAGAAGTTATTATAAAAGTTCATCTGAGTTGGTAAATCACATTTTAAAAAATCTATCCGACCCAATCGCACAGGACACTCGACTTTATGCACGTGTGACGTCAGCAATTGGTCAAAGGTCATTGAAAGTCAATATCACCCCCCGCCCCGAAACTCTACATTCTGAAAAACGCCGCATTTAAACATGCTTATACATCATTTTCAATGCAGTAATATATAGATAATACTTACAGTTGCGCCAACAGTTTCGCAAGGAGCTACATACAGAATTGAAACGTATCGCCTCAAGTACATGATGTTTTGAATTCTGCGTCCTGACAGCGACTTGATTGCCCTTGGGCGACCTTCTTCAGTTGATGATACATTCGCGGCACAAACCAAAGAAGACATTTCCTCTGCCTGGCGCATTTGTCTGTAATAACCTGCATGACTGATGTCACCATTAAAACTGAGTTGCCACTTGGGAACAAGTTTAAAGTGATTTATGCTGATAGAACATTGTGTGTATGTGTGTGTGTGGACTAGAACATTCTGTCATCGTGACATTCATATTTGACATTGTTCTTCTATGATCTTTTCATAATTATGGCAATAATAGAGCTCTATTATGTTGCGATTGTATGTAGTTTTAAAGGGTCAAAAGGTAGATTTACCGACATTATTCCAATCAATCCAGTATATTTTTACAGTACTAGTGTCAAGACCGCCAGCTGATTTTGGACTCTCTCCAAATCTGACGATGAGTATTTGAACGCATCAACGTTTTTAATCGTCAAAGGGTGCATGACTCCGTTCCTGTAATTTCTCCGTGTCAAAGAAGCTACCTGAAATTTGGATGCCTTCCGAATTTTGAGGAGGCATATTTGAATCCATGTATGATTTTGTACATATGACCTTGTACATACATGTCATTTTGCATTCAGCTGTAACGTTAGTTACAGAACATAGCTTCCCGCCCTGGCACGCTATGCTAGCCTCCTAAGCAGGCTATACTACTATGGCTTTATGGGGGTGAGGGGTGGGGTGCAGTACCAAGGAAAGTCGTCAGGGGTCCAAAATGTAACTAATTCTTTCATAGGCCAACCATTACGTATCAAATTTCATGACAACCCATTCATAGCTTATTGAGTTATCCAGATAAACCACACCGATAAACATACATACATACATACATACATACAAACGCTACCAAAACATAACCGTCTATGCGAAGGTAAGAAAAAATCAATTGTCTAGCCTGCTGAAAAGGCTCACTCTACTCCATGTGACATACGTAGGCACGGCAGAGCCGGACGTACAGCGGGTGATTGTGGAATAATCACCGGGCGATGATGGAGTAATCACCCGCTACAACCCGCTGCCGTACCGTGGTTCTAAAACATGAGTGCACGGCGTCGCCCCAGAGCAATCTTGGTGCCTCTCGATATCCAATAAGTTAACTCCTAACGGCAATCTACAACAGTCGTTGATTTTTAAAGTTGTATTAGGTATTGCTCGGTTGTATATTTAGACTGTATACGTTTTAGTCCAGTTTTGATAAAAAAAGGGAAGAACAAGAAATCGGAAATTTTAAGTTTTGGGGTTTTAGTTAATGATGTAATTC